AAACAAAAGCTGACTTTTAAGGTTGCTATTTATTTTACTAGTGTCTGCTCTTATGCCCAAACAAAGTTTGAATTTCAGATGTTATCACTTAGCAATAATGTCTTCGTCCTGTGAAAAGATTATCTTGCAAATTTCTGAGCTCATACTCCTGGTTTAAGGTATAGCACAATTAAAAACAGCAAAAACACCCTCAGGTAACGATAGTAATAATTTAATACTGTTTCTTCCTATATCTTGCCTGCTAATTAATTTCTTTCCAAGCACCCAGTTTCTGAAGGCAATGTATTTAGCTTTCTTTGATAAGTAGTGCTGCTTTTTTATAAAGCTACACTTCCCATGATTACATGGCATGGGCCATGGCAGATAAAGTGGTGCATTGATTCTACAGTGTATATGCATACCATGTAATAAAAAAACCAAAACACACACACACACACACAATACACACTTAATTGAAACAGAAACATTATTAGAGACTTGGCCCAGCAAAAGTGTGATGTATCTATGGCCCTGGCTTACTGAGAGTTCTCATATTCCCATCCTTCTTGTTGGGGGAAATCGGCAGGATGGCAGCAAACCACAAAGTACTTGGGTGTCTTCCATCTGATGTCACTCAATGCCACTTGGGAGTGAGGCAAGTACACCTCCGAGATGGGCATGTCCTTGAGTATCTTCAACCCAATTGCCCCATTTAGAAAGTGTTCAGTATGTGACAAAGATGTACATACCATCTTCCCCACTAAACAGTTCTAGCAGTGTTAAAACTGCTAATCCTGCAGTTGTGACAATGCAACAAAACAAAGAATAACACTGAGTTCAAGGAATTCAAAAGAGCAAATGAATCTGCATACAATGGCTGAAAATCAAGGGAGGGAGGGTGCTGAAAGCCACTTCTGAGAGACTGACTTGTAGTGCAGATACTGCAAAGATCTACCTCTACAGAGATGTAAGGCTCCTGTTTTTTCAGAAATCCATTGAAGTTGACAGCGGTGCAGCACACAAACTCAAATCTTACACAAAATTGCCAACAAACCCCCTGTTTTTGCCCTGATGATAGCGAAAGGCAGCCATCTATCTAAGACAAACAATTGACATAATAAAGCATACTGGGTACAAGTTAAGTAGCAAAGAAAGTAGGATGACGGTCACATTTAGAGTCAAGGCTCTTTTGGACTCTTGGACCAGTTCTTAAACATACTGGAATGAGCTTTACTTGAATCACTACTTTGGTAGGACCATAAAGTTCTATTTTCACATGTGCAGTTTAACTTCTTTTTTAGTGTTGGAGTGTAATAGCACTTTTGTATTAACTGTCTAAAAATTGAAAAAGAGGAAAAATGCCCTTCAGACTAGAGAATCACCAACAAATCAATCATGCATCAGTTGTAAAAATTCATTGAAAGACCCAGATCCAAGAAATCACTACAAACCCACTTTTCACTGAAGAATTGAGTGAAATATGGAGGAGAGTTGTATACTCTCACCTAACCTATTCAACTTGTATGCAGAACACATTATGCGATGTGCAGGGCTTGACGAATGCAAGGCTGGGGTGAAAATTGCTGGAAGAAACATTGACAACCTTAGATATCCAGATGACACCACTTTGATGGCTGAAAGCGAGGAGGAGCTGAGGAGCCTTCTAATCAAGGTGAAAGAAGAAAGCGCAAAAGCTGGATTTCAGTTAAACATAAAAAAACCCCAAGATTCTGGCAACCGGACTGATTAACAACTGGCAAATAGAGGGAGAAAACGTGGAAGCAGTGACAGACTTTGTATTTCTAGGTGCAAATATTACTACAGATGCAGACTGCAGCCAGGAAATCAGAAGATGTTTACTTCTTGGGAAGAGAGCAATGGCCAATGTTGATAAGATAGTGAAAAGTAGAGACATCACACTGGCAATGAAGATCCGCATAGTTAAAGCAATGGCATTAACCTATGGATGTGAGAGTTGGACCATAAGGAAGGCTGAGCGAAGGAAGATATATGCTTTTCACATGTGGTGTTGGAGGAAAATTCTGAGAGTGTCATGGACTGTGAGAAGATCCAACCAGTCAATACTTCAGGAAATAAACGCCAACTGCTCACTGGAGGGAAGGATATTAGAGGCAAAGATGGAAGTACTTTGGCCACATCATGAGAAGACAGGAAAGCCTAGAGAAGGCAATTATGCTGGGGAAAACAGAAGGAAAAAGGAAGAGGGGCCAACCAAGGGCAAGATGGATGGATGGTATCCTTGAAGTGACTGGCTTGACTCTGAAGGAGCTGGGGGTGATGACGGTTGACAGGGAGCTCTGGCATGGGCTGGTTCATAAGGTCACGAAGAGTCAGAAGAGACTAAACAAATAAACAACAACAAATATAGAGGAAACAACAACAAGGTGTTACATTGTAAGATGCCTTAATACAAGACTGTAAGAGTAATAGAATGTGCTATTTGAGCCTACAAATGGGGATACTTGTGGCCCTCCCATGTTGCAATTTAGTGCTGCAATCAGTAAAGGCTTGCAAGGTCTTCTTCCCCCTGGAGACATTGCACAATTAGGGTATTCAACAGCACTCTTCTTAAAGACCGTCAAGACAGGATAGGTTTTACAGTGCAACCAGCTGAAACACTAACAACAACAAAAAAAGAGCAGAAATTCATTTACCTACTTTTCAACAGAAATGAGAAACATAACCATGTAACCTCTTTTGTGTGTAAAGTACTTTAATTTGGAAATTTTAAGGATTTATTGCTGTCCGCTATGGAAAAGAAAACAATACAATTCACGATGTTAACGTGCCATGGAATGCTTATTTCTCACACATGTGGGTCAGGGTTTGTGTTGAGTAAGTTTTTACCATATTAGTTAATCACTGGGTTATGCAAGGAATTTCTGTTTCCTAACCAAAACAATTCAGGGATTCACTTAAGCCGCATCATAAACTTGTTGTGACGTAGAGAGGGATACACACAGTCTTTGTCCACTAATTACTCCTGTCTCTCATTTGGGTTTTCTGTAATGTTATTGGCAATGTAGCTGAAGCTGTGGAACAAAGGCACATATTGTCTTTTTCAATGCAGACAAAGGTAGGTGCTTCCATTTTGGGGGGAAAGGTGGTAACAGGCTGCTTTGGGCTTTTACCAAAATCTTTGTTATTTCTTTTTAATGGCTCAGATTACCAGACAAAAATGGCAGGAATAAAAAAGAAGAAAAAAGAAATCAACTCAAGTCATGCTCTATACTTCATTTCCTTGATGACTTTCTCAAAATTCAAATTGATTGCAATCTGATGTGTCACAGTTCAAAACAATTGTACCATATGACCCACTATTGTAAATCCAAGACATTTAGGCACTTGAGTCAGAATGTTGTTGTTGTTGTTCATTCGTTCAGTCGTCTCCGACTCTTCGTGACCTCATGGACCAGCCCACGCCAGAGCTCCCTGTCAGCCGTCACCACCCCCAGCTCCTTCAAGGTCAGTCCAGTCACTTCAAGGATGCCATCCATCCATCTTGCCCTTGGTCGGCCCCTCTTCTTTTTGCCTTCCACTTTCCCCTTCTCTAGGCTTTGCTGTCTCCTCATGATGTGGCCAAAGTACTTCAACTTTGTCTCTAGTATCCTTCCCTCCAGTGAGCAGCCGGGCTTTATTCCTGGAGGATGGACTGGTTGGATCTTCTGAGTCAGAATGACAGTTACCAAAATCAAGGTGCATAATGCATGCAGTAGAAGTATTTTGACCTTGGAGGCAGAAGGTCTCATGTGTAACTATCCTCCTTTTTCATTCTATAAATATAATAATAAATAACCAGACATCTGCTGTACTTTCATGGCATACAAAACACTATCAGTAATCCTCTCTGCTCTCTCTTTAACCAGAGTGTTCTCTCTCTTTGCATTATTACCAACTGGCAGGTGGTAAGGGGTGACAAAGACAATGACAAACAGACTTTTTTTTCCGTGTCAGGAACAACTTGAGAAACTGCAAGTTGTTTCTGGTGAGAGAGAATTGGCCATCTGCAAGGATGGTGTCCAGGGGATGCCCAGATGTTTGATGTTTTACTATCCTTGTGGAAGGCTTCTTTCATGTCCCTGCATGAGGAGCTGGAGCTGACAGAGGGAGCTCAACCAGCTGTCCTGGATTTGAAACGCTAACCTGTTGGTAAGCAATCCTGCTGGTAAAAGAGTTTAACCCATTGTGCCACCGGGGACTCCACAAACAGACATAGGACCCTTCCACCAGGCCCTATATCCCAGAATATCATGGCAGAAAATTCCACATTCAAACCAGATATTGTGGGATTTTCTGCCTTGAGGTTCTGGGATATAGGGCTGTGTGGAAGGGCCCTGAGAGATCGCTTTTATCCTAGAGCTATCCATGCCCATTTTGTAGTACTGGCCATTGGTTTTTGTTGAACCTTGTCTGATTGAGTTATAATTGCAATTGGTTTAATTTTTTATTGTTGTCTTTTAGTAGGTTTTTTGTTTTTTATGATGCTTTTATTTTAATCTGTCTGTATGATTTTTTCTTGGCAATTGAATGTTTTCCTTATATATTAGAAACTGCCCTGAGTCCCTTCGGGGAAATAGGGTGATATAAAAATACAGTTTTATTGTTATTTATTATGTAACCATATGAACCATCTTGGAGATGGTTCATATGGTAAGATCTTCTGGGGAGGTCCTGCTGTTGGTCCCACCTCCTTTCCAGGTGTGGTTGGTGGGGACAAGAGACAAGGCCTTCTCAGTGGTAGCCCATCTGCTATGGAACTCTCTCCCCAGTGATATTAGATCAGACCGCTCCCTGATGACCTTCAGAAAGAAAGTAAAAACGTGGCTATGAGACCAAGCCTTTGGTTAATAAATGGATTGAGATTCATTGAAGACCATCAATGAATCAGATCAGACTTTTGGAAGGAGTTCTCTTTTACAAAGGCTGTGACTGCGGCTTGAGAAAACACCTTCTCGTCAGCAATAACTGCATAATCCTCTCTTAAGTCTTCTTTTTTATAGGCTGTAGCACCGCAGCTGTGGACCACCCTAACATATTTGCAGTAGCCAAGGTGTTTAAGAGGTAAAGTTTATTCCCTGTTCTGGATGGCTCATCTAATATTCCCTGATTTTCACAAGCTAACTCTTTTTTTAAAATGTTTTTTTTTATTGTAATGGTATCCATCGAATCCATCAAAATAAACTTACTTTATATACATCCATAAACCATTACAAACATTCACCCTACCTACATCAACAACCCAGGTTTAGATTCTCTGGTGCAGCTATGAGCAAAGCAGCATCATTTCCTCTTTGTTGCCAATACATGGATTAATATAACAATTATTTTTACAAAATATAAAGCAGTGGTTCTCAACCTTCCTAATGCCACGACCCCTTAGTACAGGTCCTCATGTTGTGGTGACCCCCAACCATAATGTTATTTTCGTTGCTACTTCATAACTGTAATTTTGCTACTGTTATGAATTGTAATGTAAATATCTGATATGCAGGATGTATTTTCATCCACTGGACCAAATTCGGCACAAATACCCGATACGCCCAAAATTTGAATACTGGTGGGGTTGGGGGTGATTGATTTTGTCATTTGGTAATCCTGGAGTTGCTGGGATTTATAGTTCACCTTAAATCAAAGAGCCTTCTGAACTCCATCAATGATGGAATTGAATCAAACATGGCACACAGAATTCCAAGAGAAAATACTGGGAATGTCTGGTGGACATTGACCTTGAGTTTTTGGAGTTGTTGTTCACCTATATCCAGACTGTGGACTCAAGCAATGATGGATCTGGATAAACTTGGCACAAATACTCAATATGCCCAAATGTGAACACTGGTAGAGTTTGGAGAAAATAGACCTTGCCATTTGGGAGTTGTAGTTGTTGGGATTTATAGTTCACCCACAATGAAATAGCATTCTGAACCCCACCAATGATAGAATTGGACCAAACTTTCCACACAGAACCCCCATGACCAACAGAAAATACTGTGTTTTCTGATGGTCTTTGGTGACCCCTCTGACACCCCCTCACGACCCCCACAGGGGTCCCGACCCCCAGGTTGAGAAACACTGATATAAAGTCATTTCACTTTTCCCCAACCTCTTGAAAATGACTGTTTGAAAGATTCCATGTTGGAATGAATATATATATATATATATATATATATATATATATATATATAGTTACCAAATGAAAAAGCTCTTTTACTGATAACACACATAAGCTTTATAGCCCTAGAAGCACATACATGGTTTTAAAATACTAGAAACATTTAACACAACCAAATTACTCTCTTGGGAGATGGAAGGGTCAGCCAGCGATTTAGTACAATCACGCCTTATTCCACAGTCAGGTGGTTCAATATACTCTCTTTGAAATCCTGCTTGTTAGATCAGGTGTTCCACAGCTGCTTCCTCAGGAGTGACTCACAGCAGCAGTAAAAAGCCTGTCTCCACAAAGCACACATCTAAATCCACAGAAGGTTACATCTGCCTTAAACCTCTCTCCTTAAAATTTACCACTGTTGCTACAACTGATTCCGCTCAATTGGGTGAGTCATGACTTTACCCATTGACTACTTATACAAGCTCAAAAAGAGCCCGTTTGTTCTGACATTTTTCCAAATGTGTTAAGACATTTCAAAGTTGATAGTCGTGACTCTAGACAACTCATAATTTCAGTAGAACTCCACTGACCAAAATGAGTGAGAAGGTGTAATAAGTAGAGGCGGCCCTAGATAATTTTCAACGGTAAGCAAACAGTATTTCCCCCCCCCCCCCAACCAATCACTGATATATATATTTTCTGTTCGCCATGGGAGTTCTGTGTGCCATATTTGGTTCAATTCCATCATTGGTGGAGTTCAGAATGCTCTTTGATTGTAGGTGAACTATACATCCCAGCAACTACAACTCGCATATGTCAAGGTCTATTTTTCCCCAAGAGTGCCCCTGGGCAAAATCAACTATACTGCAAAAGCTTACTTTGCGTAATGGGTTGAGCCGCCCCTGGTAATAAGTGCTACTACTAAGAAGCGTTTTAGGAAGAAGGTGAAAAGAGAATAAAGGAATATGGTTGTGCACATTTGAGCTGTTTTTGTAACGCTAATTAGTCTAATCCACTGGGAAAGAAAAGGCATATGCTTGTAATTTCCCTTTTTAAAAAGTTTAACCAGCTTGACATCAGGGCCCTGGAGCCCTACAGAGCCACAAATGCAGAATATTGCCTCTGCATTCCTTCCATTCATCCCAAATTTGAATCAGAAATTGCCCCCAAATATCCCACGGTACCCTGAAAATAACAGAGAGGGCACTAAGGGCTATATTGCTACATTTAGAGGTGACTTTTTGAGACGAGAGTGTACTGGAAATAGCAACCTTCTCAAGCCTCCAGTAGTTATTTGTCATGTATATAATTACTTACTGTATTGTATGTGTGTATTGGTTTCAATTTTATCTAACCTTTTTGTTGTGAGGCGGGCTGCAGACCATGTGATTAGAATTGGGCATGTTCAGATTGAAGACTTCATTTTAGTTTGTAGAAGCCATTAGGCGTGTCTCTCAACCTGGGGATCAGGAGCCCTGGCGGGGTTGTGAGGGGGTGTCAGAAGGGTTGCAAAGACCATCAGAAAACACAGTATTTTCTGTTCATCATGGAGGTTCTGTGTGGGAAGTTTGGCCCAATTCTATTGTTTGTGAGGTTCAAGGGGCTCTTTGATTGTAGGTGAACTATAAATCCCAGCAACTACAACTCCCAAATGTCAAGTCGATTTTCCCCAAATTCCACCAGTGTTCATTTTTGGGGATATTGAGTATTCGTACCAGGTTTGGTCCAGATCCATCATTGTTTGAGTCCACAGTGCTCTCTGGATGTAGGGGAACCACAATTCCAAAACTCAAGGTCAATGCCCACCAAACCCTTCCAGTATTTACTGTTGGTCATGGGAGTTCTGTGTGCCAAGTCTTGTTCTATTTCATTGTTGGTGAAGTTCAGAATACTCTTTGATTGTAGGTGAACTATAAATCCCAGCAACTACAACTCCCAAATGACAGAATCAACCTCCACCCAACCCAACCAGTATTGAAATTTGGAACCCGCCTACCTGCGTGACCGCATCTCTGTGTACGAACCCACACGATCTCTTCGTTCATCTGGAGAGGCCCTACTCACAATCCCACCTGCATCACAAGTGCAATTGGTGGGGACGAGGGATAGGGCTTTCTCGGTGGTGGCCCCTCGACTCTGGAACTCTCTCCCTAAGGACATCAGGCAAGCCCCAGCCAGGATAACTGCATCCCTCCAAACACCTACCCTTTTCACCTGGTCATGCCCAGCACTTTTTAATTTTAATTATTACATTTGGCCCTGCCACAGATTTTAATTGCATCATGGTGTGTTGTTAATGTTATTGCCTTGTTTTTGAGTTATTTTGCTGTATTGTTGTTGTTGTTTTTACTGTTGTATTTGGGCTCGGTCTCTTGTAAGCCGCACCGAGTCCTCCGGGAGATGGTAGCGGGGTACAAATAAAGGATTATTATTATTATTATTAGCGAAGCAACCAAGTGTGGGTGGGGGTGTTGAATGCTCTCATTAAGGAGGCCAGACTTGGTGGAGGTGGTTGACAGGGGCGGAGCTGCAGGCTATTGAAGGCTGCTCTGCCCCCTGCTGTGCTCTTTGCTTCAGCGTGAGCTAGGAGGCAGGTTTCAACCCCCCCCCCCGAAATTTTCAACCCCCCCCCGAAATTTCAAACCCCCCCGGAATTTTTTTTCTGGCTACGGCCCTGGAAACAGGGGACATTATTCTTAAGGCAACCCCCCTTCCTCTGGTCTCCTCTCCTTTCCTCCCAAAACTTTAAAAGCTAGCAGTAGCTTAGTTTCGAAAGCCAAGATTTCTATGAAGGAGAAATGACATTAAAATTTCATTATCTTGAAATTTTGATAGTTCTAATGATTAAGTTTCCAGGCATTCTTCAAAGGTAGCTTCACATAGAGTACATTACAATAATTCAAACAGTTTGTAACTAAGGCCACAATAAATGACTACACAGATATGTTTTAGGTGTGCACAGTATCCAATATGTCCAATGACAAATACTGAAGATCAATGAAAAACTAGCACATTAAGGGGTTGGTTGAACTGAGCCCGGGCACAACAGCATTCTCATATGGGAGGGCTCATTGATCATGTGGTCGTTTTGTGTGGGAAAACATTTTACATCATCGGCATCTTGTTCTTCTAGCATTAAAAGCACTTACATTACAAAAAAGGGTACCTCTCAGTCCAGCCTCCCTAAGAAATCAACACAGGAATAGAGCACTGTGTTCCCAACATTATCAGTTAAAGGCAATATCATTGTGGAAAAACTGTTCAGAACAGAGTCACAGAGCTTATCATGATTGCTTCCTGATGGGAAGCTGGAACAAACAGACTCCAAGGCCAATCAGAGACTAACTTGGAAGCTTCCTCGCATGTTATTGTGGGTATCAAAATAGGACATACTGTAAACAGTTTAGAAACAGAACCAGAAATCACTAAGAAAGTATGGTTTCTTTTTAATGTACTCACTAAATGTGCTTAACCGTCTTTCCCTTAGGCCTTCTCTACTTCACTAAAGCCTGAAAACTCCCCAACAAATGTAAATGTAAAATGGAAATGCTTTTCTGACCTACAATCATCCATTTAAGCATTTGAAGTTTCAGGGTTTTTTTCAACACACACCTTGAGGAGGTAGATTCCACTCTCACAACTGCAGAGTCTGCAGCTCCCTTTGTTTCTACTCTATATTTTAACTGGAAAAGTTGGGGGTTGTCTTATACGCCTAGTCGTCTTATATGCTGGAATATACAGTACTTCTTTTCTATTTGCCATCTGCTATATCATTTAATATCAATAAAATTGATCTTATAGCAATAATATGTGTCAAAAATATGTATCAATTTCCTTCCCAAAAGAAACTATTGGGAAGGCCTTAAACTGCACCCAGTTCTAGAACAGAACAACATGGTACGGCAATTACAAAGTGAACTGGGCTAGACATACATTCCCATTGTCTGATTTTATGATTTTACCAAAAATCGCTGTCTGTTGCGTTAAATGCTATTTAAGTTATTTTTGGCCTTATACTCTGCTTTTGCAACATCAGGGTGGTATGACCAAATGGAATTAGAAATATTTCTTGTAGGTTCAGATCTCCAAATAATATTTCCTATTCTGTCTAGATGTTGAGTAAGGTGCCTACGTATGCTAAAAACACCAGATCCTGTCTGAACTTGGAAACTAAGCAGAGTCAGCCCTGGTTAGTACTTGTTGGAAAACCATCAATGAATGCCAGGTGCTTTCGGCTATATTTGAGAGGGAAAAAAACAGGCAAAGCCACCTCTGAGTATACCTTGCCTAAGAAAACCCTATAAAATTAATGGGGTCACCATAAACCAACAGACAACAGGCACAAGACACATAACATAATGTAGGTGAACCTCTGCTCCAAGTAGTAGTCTCTCCTCTTCTAAGGCACATATGAATGCAGTTAAAAATGCTAAAGATCATCACCTTGTTCTATAAACCAACTGTGTCTGGTTTCATACAGATCATAAGAAGGTGTGTATGCATGTAAAATCTTTGGGTTGTCTGTGGAGGTGTGTGTATGCATAACTAACAAGAGAAAGCAATTTGGGAAGATGCTGTAGATGAAATTCTTTTTCCTCTCCTCCATCTCTTAGGGCAATATAGTATGTTATGTAAGGGCAATTTGCTCCCTCCCAATTGCAAACACCTTTCACTCATTCCAAGTGAATGGAGTGAGGTCTGTCCATCAACCTGTGTGTGACAATCAGGAAAACCCCTGGGGAGACAACACTTTTCTCACATATCACATACAAGGCCTGGAAATATGCCAAAGTCAGGTTTAGCTTATACAAACAAAGTATCTTGAGTATGCTGTGATAAAGAATAAGGAGGGATTGGTGTGACGGCGTGAGTGTCGCCACCTATATGTAGAACTGTAAGTTGCAGGATTTGAACTGTTGTATCATGATTGATTTTGCCTTTTTACCCTGTAAATGTATAGTGGGATTGATTGGTTATTTATAGCTGTCAATCAATGTTGTTTGCACCAGTTGAATTGCTCCTCCTGCTCAATTGTTTGACCCCACCTCTTCCTAGAGAGCAGGACAGTGTTTCCTTTTCCATTCCACCATCAAACTTTCTATCAGATGGACGTGAGAGAGAGACTTGGCTCTGAAGCCCTTGATTAAGTTACCTCTCAGCGCCAATTCTGAGGTTCTTACCCTTGAGACTTATGCTTCATTTTCAGATCAACCTGGACGACATTGAGAAGTCTCAAGCGCCTTCAAACCAGTTCTTTGGCACCAGAGGAAGGCTTTGTGCCTTCAAAATATAGGCCATTGGAATTGGGGTTGTGATTATTCCGATATTCACAGCCATTGAAAAAGAGGGACCTGGAAAAGCTTCTCAGCTGCAAAACTCCTTGGACCCAAGACAATCAGAGACTGTAATGTATATTTTCCTTTATCCCTTTGGAACTTCCAGCTTATTGCCTTAAAGGGATAACTCTTTGTGAACAATTAAACCTATTTTGAGTTATCTACAGTGTTTTAGGTCCTTGGGAGTTCCAATTTTCCTAAAGGAGGGCAAGACATGACATCATGGACATGACATGTTTCCTGTTTCACTAAGAGTTATAGCCCCCAGGCGCGACGGCACAATTGGGGAGACTGAGAGAGTGGATTTCATGTCATTTGCAGTATACCATCCAAGTGAAAATAGAGTTTTCTAAAACATGGTTGTATAAACATCTAGAGTCTGAAAATCCATCTAAAACACAGACCTCAGCAAGTGGGAGTCCAAAAGTGTCAGGCTAAAACCCAGAACCTCAATCAATGGCTCATACCAAATGAAAGATTCTCTCCTGGGCACACAGAAAACTGGGCAACTTGGAAGGCGCTGAACAGACTGCACTCTGGCACCATGAGATGCAGAGCCAACCTCAAGAAATGGGGCTACAAAGTGGATTCCACCACATGCGAGTGTGGAGAAGAGCAAACTACAGACCATCTGCTGCAATGCAACCTGAGCCCTGCCACATGCACAATGGAGGACCTTCTTATAGTAACACCAGAGGCACTCCAAGTGGCCAGCTACTGGTCAAAGGACATTTAATCAACTACCAAGCTTGCAAACTTTGTGTTTTATTTTTTGTTTGTTTATTTTTAATGCAATACAACTGTTTGGTTTGCTCCTGACACGATAAATAAATAAATACATAAATCTCATCCAGAACAAGAAATGCCAAAAGACTATGTTCACTTAGGATGGTCGCTTATACATTGCCAAAAGAAATGACATAGAATTCCATAAAATGTTAATATATTTGTGAAGATAGAAATTAAGAAGGAATTAGTAAAGCTAAACAGAAATATTATTCATTATGCCAGACCCAGTGAGTTGGGTGCCTGCACAGCTTTTTGTCCAGGAGCGAAATGTTCATGGGCAACTCAATGACCGCTGTTCTCCATTCTTATGGTTCTTTGTCTCTCAAGTGGGCTTAGTCTGGTCAGTCCTCTGTCAGCCTTTCAAATAACACAAGAAGACAATGGATTCCCACCAATACAAAAAACACAAATCCACTAAAAGTTGTGGTACATAAATCACAATGGTCGATATTGCCTAACAGTTTGTATATTACAATATTCAACAAACGGCAAAATTAAATGGTATAGGCATAACCCAGTATATAATGAACAACAACCAGTTGTTTACAAAGATTACACATACATAACATAAAGAGTCTTTTGGTGTAAAGACAACTTGTCTTCAGGGCATAAGATCCCTTGCTTTAGAGTAAGCGTACTGTAAAGAGTCGTTCTTGGTGTAAAACCAACTTCTCTTCAGGGCATAGGATCCCTTGCTTTAGAAAATGTTTGGATATCCACATCCACGACCGGTTTCGACTGGAGTCTTCCTCTGGTGGATATATGAGACATCAAGTTCTTCACAATAGTAATCCCTCCTCGGGTGTTTTATACAATGGGACAGTGGATCTATAGGGAAAATACACAGGTGGCTAGAGTATGTCTCAAAGGGGGATAAACATTTGTATGTATTACTCACATAACAACAAAGGACAAATAAACAGGCATAGGTTACTTACAAGAACTCAGAAGCCATGCTCTGCAGCAGTTTCTACCTGATGACCTTTGTGCTTGCTAGAGAATCAAACTGCTGCAGAGCACGGCTTCTGAGTTCTTGTAAGTAACCTATGCCTGTTTATTTGTCCTTTGTTGTTATGTGAGTAATACATACAAATGTTTATCCCCCTTCGAGCCTTTCAAATAAAGCACTCTCTTCTGCAATGTAAGGCACATGGCCACCCTGCATTCATTTTACCACCCCCCATCTCCCATGTGGTTGTGTGATCATTCTTAGGATGGTTATGACAGATGAGATTGTACTCCTTTCTTTGTGGATGTCTGAAAAGAACCTGAGTGTTTACATACCCACAAGAAATACTTTACCACTAAAGAAAATATGTGATCATAGTGTTTAGGCTGAAATGACCACCCAGATATTGCTGGAGCCCCACAAAAAGCCAGATTAGGCAGATACAGTTAGTGTTATGTCATAAAACTGCCAAATTTGGATTCTGGTGGACCACAAAAGCATTCCACCTAAGCCAACCAAGACTCAGCTTCTTTTAATTTTGAATTTTTCAGAACTATTTGGAACTTAAAGCCATAAAGAGTAACCAGCACTATGTGTGTGGTCATTGTCTTTAGATCTACATTCAAGCATCAGATAGCTAATTCAGTATGGGAGCTTCTTTTTCGGTCTCTTTCTGATGAATTTATTTATTTGCATATCTATCCTGAATAGAGTTGCACGGAGACCACTGCAAGACCACCACAAGATAATAAGCATTTGCAAAAAGGTTTGTAAAATATACAACTCATTAAATATTAGGTTTTCACAAAATGATCAGATCCTAGCAGAAGAAAATCCTTTTGCAGCTGCTTGAATAAAAGAAGGCAGCCCAAGGCAATGAATTCTTTAATTGAAAACAGTTACACTATAGAATCTAATATATATATAAAGAGCAGAGTAGTCACTGACAATGGTCCTCGAACTTGGCAGCTTCACAGATAAGGCATCAATTTGGATCCCTTTGTCTGGTTTGAACAACTGTTGAAGGGAACAGTTTACCTTCGCCCAGAATCTCATGCAGAAGAACAGGGATGAAAGGGATGAGAAAACCAGGTTAACTTGCTTTACTCTTATAGTAACTGGCAGAGGTGGCCCTAGGTAATTTTCAACGGTAAGCAAACAGTATTTTGCCCCCCCCCCCCCCCCCCAACCAATCACTGATATATATTTTCTGTTTGTCCTGGGAGTTCTGTGTGCCATATTTGGTTCAATTCCATCATTGGTGGAATTCAGAATGCTCTTTGATTGTAGGTGAACTATACATTCCAGTAACTACAACTCGCATATGTCAAGGTCTATTTTCCCCCAAGAGTGCCTCAAGAGCGCCCCTGGGCAAAATCAACTATACTGCAAATGCTTACTTTGTGTAATGGGTTGAGCCGCCCCTGGTAACTGGTAACACTGTGGGTTTTGTTCATTTTTAAAACATTTATTTGGTACTTCTAAAACATTTTGGAAAGGTGTTTAGGCCATTTTTCTTATTTTGGCCACTTTTCCTATTTTAAAGATTTTTTTAAAAAAATTATCAATAAAATATCCAAATCATTAAATAGGAAAGTAATTGAAAATGAATCCACCAGAAATGTGTTCAGGAGCTAGGGTGCAACAAGAAAGCTCTTGGAAGTTTATTATAAAATGAATTACATTTTAATTATCTGTGTAATTATGAGACAGATATAAGTTATTTAAAAATAATTTGAATAATTAAATAATAACCTGTATGGGATTTTCTACATGCTAACAAATAATATAATGCCCCTTTTGACATTCATGCTTCTGGTTTATTACTGGGATAGCTGAGTGCTATTGCAATGCAATAAGATAAATCCATCTAACCATTACCTTAATGCAACAAGGAGAAACTACTCCACTCAACCAAGGTCCTAGCAGGGAATAGCACTAGATATTTCAAGTTGTCAAGATTAATACTATAAGCATGTCGAAATAAGGACATTTGGTCTTCCTGGGCAGAAGTTTCCAGGCAGGACAAGAGCAAAGCAAAATGCCTACAGCTGAGATAGGGAATGTGTAGCCTCATAAGTTTGCCTGCAATGCTCCTCAGTCCACATCATTGACTATACTGACAAAGGCTGATGGGATTTGCTGGACAATACCAGATTGGTCAGAAGTAAGTCATCTGTAGCAGTTCATCTATTAGTATGAAGGCAACAGGGAAAAATGAAAGTACTAGTTTCCTTGAGAAAAGGCCTTAAGAGGCCGAGGAGTTTTCAAGGGAGTGCGGATTAGACCTGAGAACACAGGGAGTGAAAAGCAGGCAAACTAGATATTCTCAGATGATTCTTTGAAGTCCAGATATGTTACGCATGATGTCATGGGTGCTCTGGCGGGCTTAAATTAAGTGGTTTGGTTTCAGGCCTTTCAGAGGAGACAACGTTGCTATTAGATTGATCTCTGTTCATGATTCTTGTTTGTGTTTCCTGTTCATTATTCCAAATTTCTGGTTCCTGTATTGTCAAGATTCCTGTTTCATGATCCTGTTTATGCCTATGTACCTTGGGAGAATTCACCTTGGAGAGGTTCCTGTTTTCATATGCATGGATATACCTTTGGATTAATTCTGTGTTTTTAGATTCCTTGGTTTTGTATTTAACCTGGCATTTTTAGACTAATACTACTGAACTCTGGTTTCTTTTGTGTATTGCATTTTATATCCCGACTGTCTCTTTTGGATTTATCCTCCCCCCTCCTTTTATATGCTTTCTTTAATAAACATTGTTTTATTGGACTCTGGTGTGGTGCTGGGTGAAAAGGGTGTTCCAGTGCTAGGGTGCAACAAGGGCATTGAAATGTAGCATCACAAAATTAACATTTCCACTCAGACGTTCAGCTGATGCCAGTGAAGGAGAGAGTAATCGTATGCTGTACATCCATATGTGAAATAACTCAGAATCTCCACGCAGGAAATCTATCCACCCAAGTTCCCAAACAACCCATCTCCTTGCCTTTTAGTACATCATGGGCATATCAAGATACATCTAGAGGAAAAAGTGATTCAACCGTTTTACGGGCTCAGTTTCAGAACATGCAGAGAGTCACTTCTTCCTTCATCTTACTCAGACCAAACATTTTAATAAAAAGCCACATAAAATCCTATTTCAGATGGTTAGCAAAGAAAGTCAGTTTACAAAGTCCTACTTACACCTTATAAAGACACATATTCAATCTTCTTAGCTTACTGGTACTGTGTCTCATATATTTACTCAGCCCTAATGACCGTTCAAATGTTTGTCCTTAAAAAGTGCATGACTTTCAATTTGCTTCTCTGTTGGTGATCTTTTTCGTCATTTTATATTTTCTTAATT